TATATATATATATATATATATATATATAGAGAGAGAGAGAGAGAGAGAGAGAGAGAATGGCACAAGGACTGTAAAAAACCCATAAAAAAGCATTATTTTACGAAGAAAGTGGCATGAAAAAGCACTCTCACATAATGATATTGGATTGAGATTGAAGATCACTAATCAAGAGATTCAAGACTCATTACAAGAGTTCTTGCAAAATCCTACAAAACATTGTATTTTTCTGTTCTTTTCCAACAGTGACTAAAACAATAAGAAAAATGGTTGAATGTACTTACTTGGGCTTCAGAAAGGGCAGATTGTTGTTCAGATTCACCATCGAAAAGTCGTTGGAAAACAGCCCTAGGGATGATGATTTTTGGTAGAGAAAGAGAGCAAATATTTCCCAATTTAGCTCTCCCCCTTTAAAATTTGTTCTCTGAAAACCTATTCTTTCCTTTTATTGTAGTTGATGAAAATGGCCTAAACAATTTGAAAGGTTGAAATTGAACCAATTAAAATGGGTATTTTGGATAAAACATAGGGCATTGTGTAAAAACAATGTGATCTATGGACCGGCCGGTTCGACACTTGACCGTTGGACCAGCTGGTCCAGACATAGGATTGGCCGATCCTGCTGTCCAGTGCCGGTTCACTGGGCCACCCAGACTAGTATAGTGGACCGGACCATATAGGCAACCAGTTCAGCAGTTCCGGATTGAACTGGCTTGTGGATTGTGGTCCCGATAGCATTGATTATCACAGATATTTCTTGGGACAAACTTCGCAGGCACCTGGTATTTTTAATCACCAGCGAAGTCTAGCTCCCTTTTGTGGAACTCTACACCTTATGAGTTGTCAGATCTTGAACCTAATCTCAAACTGAAGCCTAGCTTGAGACAATCCCGTTGGAATTTGTGTTGTTTCTTTATTACTCTACGGCCTAGAAATCTCCATAATTGGTGACCTTTTTGGTCAAAATGTCCTCCATCAATGACCTTTTTTGTGGAAGGTCTGAATAGCCAGTACAAATTTGCCGCTGAAAGTGACTTGACCTTGGAGACCCCTAGTAAGGAACAATATTCACATTGCTCTGGAGAAAGAACATTTAAGAACAACATCCACATTAGTAGATAGTTTGGGGTTCTTTAGTTCCACTCTACAGATCCTTGAGAGATGGTCCCTGACAAGGACATCATTGATCCTTGTCGATTAAATGAAAGTTAGAACCCTCAGCAGGATTAGGATGTCCCAAACAAGGCAACAATATTCTTTTGACCTTGGAATTTGGTGATGAAGATGGGCCTGGTAGCTTGTTTTTTCATAGGTGTCTGTTGAGAGTGGTGTTGATTTATCTGTTATTTTTTACTTCCTTGAAGGCCCCAAGAGGCTCACTTGCACATCCTCTCTCCAATATATGGTTTTGAATGGCTGTATTTTAGTGTCTTATCTTCTCTTACATTATTTTTTGTTTGTATATGCTCCTCCTAGAATATCAAAATAATAACAAAATCGATTGTGGTCAATACATTGAAGCATTGCTTGGGGATATTACCTTCTGTATTGCTTTTAGGAATGTGTTCTAGGTTATATTATTTTTGGAAAGGGTTAACTATGGATATATGGAACTATATTTTGGTTGTTATAGCATGTTATTTGTGGCCCATCTCAAATTCTGTAGTTTCGAGAATAGGGGATGAATTTCTCATGCAAGTTGCTGCACTGTGTCCAGTGACTTTTTGCTTCATTTGCATGCTACCCCTAAACATACTTTGATGCTGATCATGCTGTTGAGGCTGCCTTTTAGGTGAGGGATCCTTTGTGGTTCAGATGGTCCCTTTAAATTCCTCTTTAGAGACCAAGTAGAAGTCACAAACTCACAAAATGCCACTGTTTTATGCGTGACATGAAAACTGGAAATACCGGTTTTCATCCAACTTGCAAACGGTGTTATGTGGTGCTTTGACCAACCACTTGACCAAAATGTGTATTGGTATCCAAACTGGTGTTACTTTGCATTGGCGATTTTCTCAATGAGATAAATGGTTAGGATTCCATGGTCAGACAACCTCGACTTTTATTAGCCATTTAATGCATTGCTGCTGCTTATTGTTTTAACCAACTATCAAATACAATGTCATCTTATGTACAAATTATGCCATTCTATGAAGGTTCCTTGTGTTCTGGTACCAACTCCATCACTTCTTTGTAAACAGATCGATGAAACCCCAATTGATGATCTTATGGAACTTGTTCAGCAAATTGTTGCTTTCCATGTAAAGGTACATTGCTAATGTGCCTCAAATTTTCTTCTTCATGCTTTTCTTATGTCCTCAGTTGCTATATTTTTTTTGTGGCTCTTCAACTGTCTGTAAAAAAAAATCTTTCCACAGCTTCTTTTGACAGACTTCATCACTGTTGAACTACTTCACTTCTGATTTTGCTTTGGTGTTCTTTTTTTATATCATTTACTGTTTCTTCTGTCTTGAATTTGTTGCAGCACAATGCTGAACCTGAAGCTGTTGATCTCTTAATGGAGGTACGCTTCTATTCTCCCATTCTTTTTGATGCATAATACTTTGATCTTTATTTTTATTTGCTAGATTTTTTATTATGTTTTCAGGTAGAAGACTTGGACATGTTAATTGATCATATCGACTCCACTAACTACAAAAGGACCTGCTTGTACTTAACCAGCTTTGCCAGGTGAGAGCCTTGTAAACTATTGGACAAATAAGTTGGTTACTTTTCTGATAGTATCCATTAGTTCTCTATATGAGTTGTTTTCTAATGTAACTTCTCATAAAACTGTGAAGGGATTCAAGTATGACAAACGCTGAATTCAACTTTAGGGAACAGGGATGGAGTACATAGTAGTTCTTGTAAATGCACCCATATTTGGCTATGGAGTTGAAATCTAGTCTTATATTCCATAATACATGATAGGGAACAGTTCATGGCATGTGAAGCTTGTGGATATCTTGATCATGTTTGGTTATCAATGGCACTTCACTCTACCTTCGAATCATATTCAATAGATCACTTGCCACTGAAAAAAGCCCGTAGAACTCCTAGAGAAACAGTTGTGCCCAATTTCAAGTGCTCTTGCTTCTGCATGGGAATCACAAATGCCTTCAGTCTCCTGAATGTCTTTCAAACTGAAACTCCTCCATTCTGTATAAGGCCTTAACAAAAAAAATTTCCGGAACATTTATAAGGCTCCACATTTGATGGCTAGATTCTGTTTGGATCTACCATCAAAATTACATATTTTCCCATATTAGTTGCTTCCTCATTGGAAGTGGGGTTTGAATCTTATCACTTTTTTTTGTATTTTTTAATTTGCACCTCACCAAAATGACTCATCTTTCGCTGAGTCAAATCATACACTTAGATGCCATGGAACTTTTGCATATGCCCTGTCAAAGCTCTAATATGCAGCTTGAGATCCTCGATCCTGCATATCATTTGAAATTCTGTTGTTCTGTTTCTTACTGAGTCCGCAAACGATAGCTGGAAGGTATATCCTTATGAGACTCTTCCACTTTGGAGGAAGGGTAGATGTTGGCCTCACAATAGGTCTGTGACTTGTAGTGGCATCCATGAAGCACTGAAGATAATTATATCCTCCTGGCATAGCCAGGGTGTAGTAGAAAATGTTCCATTGGTGCACATATAAAATATTTGAGAAACTCGATGATGCTTTAGCGTTTGATTGTTCCATGCCCACCACACAACCTGAAGCAAACAGCCTTGGCATGGTCAGAACGCCATCCATACCTGGTTAGGTATTAGGATTCCTCTTTTAGTGTGATGAATTCAGAAAAAACCTTTTATCATACTTATTCCTTCGATCTAAGACCTTTTAAAGGGGATGAATGCCTCTTCTAGTTCAGCCAGAAGCCTATACTTTCAAAGATCTCTTTGTCTCTACGGCTATGAGGCATAGATACTTCAAATAGGAAGCTGAATCCGTATCGGATACTTCAAATTGTATATAATATCTCAAAAAATGGGTGTTTTGGCTGCTTGCACAGTCGTATCTCTGCCTCATAGTTCTAAGGTCCTTTCTACAGCATGGGTTCCAAACTCTACCCTAACCTGCTGCTCAAAATTGTGTAACCGAGAATGTAGCTTCAATGTGTAGAAGTATTTATTTGGGGAGATTGTTGTGTTTATGAGTTTCTAATTGTTGTTTTGTGTTTTTTATTTTCGACTAATAATTCAGTATTCAAAACCTGTCAGTTATCTTCCTAGCCCTGACGATATGCTGGTTCTCGAAATTGCATTTGCCATTTACACCAAGTTTGAGGAACACACCAGTGCACTGTGTGTAGCACTTCGCATGGATAATTCTCATGTATGCTCCCTTTTCCCTTGATGTCCACTATGTTGCCACTATTTATTTCTTGATTCCATTAGCTTACCATTTGTTTTGTCTTTGACAGTATGTCCGACAGGTGTTTGTTTGCTGTTCCGATCTTTTAAAGAAGAAACAACTTTGTTACATTTTGGCTCAACAGGTGGGTGTCCTCATAGTTTCACACTTTTTATCTTGGGAATCTCTTTGGTGTATTTGAAGCCTGAAGGCCTAAGTTTGTTCTTTTTGATGTTGCTTCTTCGTATGTGCTTCTTAGTTGGAAATGATTTTATCCATTCAGAATTTTGTGAAACTTTTCTTGCTCTTAATAGCCAACCTAATGGTTTGAAGTAATGGGACCAATGGATCTGCAATCCGGTAGTCACATGCTCAAATTCTTTATAGTTTGCATGTCTAGTCTTTGGCCGTGTCCACGTACTGAACTATTCTAAGTCAGTGTGTGTTGCTAACTATTCTAAGTCAGTGTGTGTTGCTAAGATCTGTATTGGTACCATTTCTGGGGTATTACATTGATAGTTTCTTTCTTTGGGCAGAACATTATGAGTTATACTTCTAATTGCTTTGTCATGTCATAGCTACCTAGAAAGTGGTACCCGGAATTTTTTGTAATGAAGTTGACTGTCTTGAATCCTAAATCCTTGTTTGAAGGATATTGTTTTTGTAGTTGTATGAAATATGAGCTATTTTTCTATGTGCCCGCTCCCCCACCTACCCACATACTGACATGCACCCAATAAAAGAAAAGAAAAAGAAGGGAAAAGAAATCAAATAATAGCATACAAACCCATGAAAGAGCTAAGGGACCTCACGTTGCCTTGATGCTCCATGATTATCTTTGAAAATGCTGGCCAACGATAACTCCCATGTCCCTTTTCCGTACTTCTGAGAAACTTCTTTAAAGTCAACGAGTCTTGGATATTACTTCCCACTTGTGTGAAGCACAGATTTGCTTGTTATTTTCATCTTCTTCATTGTTCTCCTGTTTAAAAAAAGAGCATTTCATTAGAGACCTAACTCAACATCACCTATTCTTCCAAATTTTGGCGATTGCTATCATATCTTGCTAAGTAATTGGCATTATTTATCCATATCATGGAGGATTCATGAAGCAATTCTACTCGTTTCTACAATACACACTTTCCTTGTTTATATACTTTGCATGACTAGGTTTTTTGAAAACATTTTGTTTAGAAACAAGTTTTCAAAACTCCACTTACCTACTTTAATAACTTTCTTGTGCTTAATAATTTCTTTTAAACCACAAGTCTGATCCCTATATGGCTGAAGATCAAGTGTTACAAGTATTAATGCATCTATAGTTGTTCAAAAGGATTTTCGTATTCGAATTTTTTCTTGAAGTCCCATTTTATTATTGGAATTTAAAAATAGTCCCCTATACATTTCTTATGCTCAAATCCCACTTTTTGAGAATGCATATTGTACTTCATTTTATTTTTGCTATATGCATCAGATTAAAGCTCAAATGGTGTCCATACTTCTCACCAGTCATGCTTCTGTAAAAAGTAGGAAAAAATAAATTTTAAAGAAATAAAATACCAAAACACCCATGAAATTCGTAGGGTTATTTTGGTCATGTATTCTATTGAATTATTAGTTTATATGTTTTAGAGGTGCATGACTATGACTATGGACTTGCCAAATTTAAGCTCAATCCGATGCATAGGAAAAAATAAAATTGAAATACAATATGTGCTCCTAGAAAGTGGGACTTGAGCGTAAAATATAAAATATAGGGGACTATTTTTAAAATTCTGATAACAGATAACTTTCCTGTAAGCTTTTCTTTTGTTTTATTTCCATTTTTTTAGTTTTGTATTCACATATCTTGGTTCAGGGTGTAACATTGGAACTTGATGATGAGTTGATTCATGGAAACGAAGAACAACGAGAAATCCTACAAGAAATCATGAACAACGCTAAACTAAGTGAAGGTTATCTTACTCTTGCTCGTGACATTGAGGTCATGGAGCCTAAATCCCCTGATGATATCTATAAGGTAATCCATCTAGATTTTTTAATTCTGAAGTGATCTATGTATTGCTATTTTTATTTTTTAATTTGTCTTACCTGTGCATTTCTCTGTAGTACATTCTGTTCTAGAGTTTCCATGTGATGTTCAAATATATCATATTTTACATTATGTGTTCGTGGCTGTCGTAACTTTTAAAAAAATCTTCATAGAAGTTGTCATCTTTCATCTTGTGTGTCTAGGCCTACCTTAGAAAACATTATCTGCCGTCTGGACCTGTGTGTCCATGTGCATGTCATTGGATATGTACTGAACATTTCTCTGTTTTTTTTTTGGTGTGACATGGCATATTTCCATTAATTGATTATGTATTGGTTTTTACTCTTGTTCTTTTTGGATAAGAGTATATGGATTTCTTAATCTTGGATATGGTATGTGCTCTGTGTTTATAGAGATCTTATGGCATGTAAAACTTTTGTTGCATAAAGAGAACTTATCATAGAGTGTATTGGTTAAATTTTTTGCATGATTTTTGAGAATCTACTTGTTAAAAGAAGCTATAGACCTAATAATCTAGATTCTTGGATGAATTATTCTTTGGTATTCTTTGTATTCATGACATATGGTATCAACATGTGCGATGATACCCATGCTGATCTCGACTATAATATCAAAATTTTGCCTTCTAATATGATATATCTAGTCATCCTTCTGGCAAGGCTCAGTATAGATATATGATAAATTTTTATCTGTGTGTGTGCATGTGTAAAAGTGCACATGCTCGTACAGGTGGGTTCTTGCGAAATACTGTGTCATATTCCAGCTAGAAACATAAGCACCACAAAAATATGGGGGATTGATGTGTTTTTATGCCTTATGAATTTGGATATTTCCCTCAGAGTCTACAAGGCATCATATTTTATGTTACTATCCTGAAATAGTTCACGCTTTTTTTTAAAGAAAAACCAAAGAAATTCTCGAGATTCCAAAGTGATGTTTCCCAGACATAGTTTCACAGAGCAGCTGACTTTTGTTGCTGCTAGTTCTCACTAACCACCTGGGATTTACAATTAATCCCTAGTTATTCTGTCATACTGCCTTCCACCTTAAGTCTACAAAACATTTCGAACTTAGTCCAATGATTTCGTAGTTTTCCCCAAGAAACAAGATGCTCGGGGAAAAACATTGGTTGACAATAAATATTATCTGAAAGAAGCTACAGGCAGTAACTGCCGGCTGCAAATGTTTTATGAAACAGCAGAGGTTTCCATTCATTTCATTGAGAAATTGTTTTTAAATGGATATGGGATATCCAAAAAGCGAATTCACCCTTTAGGTATTGCTTGCCTTTTAAGTAGTAGCTGTAACTTTCAAGATAATTGTTTGTCTTATCCATTATTGGAATCAGTCAATCAAGTCTACAAGGAACACATGATCACCTCATATAATAATAGGAAATCAGATTCTTTACATCATGTTTACGAAACAAGAAGGTTGCACATCTTGCAACTATATGTTCACTGAACAGAAGTAGAGATGAACCCTAGTTTGGGCATGGCAGACTACAGGGTTCATCTCCTTAGTCCGTCTTAGATCTAAGGAGGATTATATCTATTAATGAAAAAAAAAGAAAAAAAAAGAAGAGAATGGATCGGGGATGCCCTTGCCCCACTTGTGTATTGTGATTCACATATAAATGATATAGTGTCCTTATAATGAATCAAATTTTTGGATTGGTATTCCTCAGCTTTTTATTCTGAGCTGGTGCTGTGATCATTTATCCATGTCATATTTATGAGGCACTAATGGCTTAGCTTTAAGGCTCTTTTAGGTAAGCTGGTTTGTATGAGGGAAGAACTCTGAATGCTTGAGCTTCCTCTCATGGAAAGTGTCAGACTACTGGTCTAAACTCTCAACACTTTGTTAAGATGAACATGCTACTGCTTTAAATGTTCGTCTATCCTCAAATGTTCTCTTGAACTTCATAAATCTGTTCTTCTCAGTAGAATAACTCTTTAGGAACACCTTTGGCCTTTTACACTTCTGAAGTTTCACTACTATAAAATATATTTTGAACCGTTGAGCCCTGTCCTTGGTGGCTAGAAGACATCTTTGAGGAGATAATTTTATATGGTAACAGATCCATATCGTTTTGTCATTTTCTTGGGGATGCCATTGTGGAGGTGGACATGTTGGCAAGTAGAGGGCTTATTACTATGTTACGTTTATAGTGGGAAGTAACCAGCTGTCAATCTCTTGAGATTGGCATCTTGACATTTTTCGACTTCACTTGCTTGTTTTATCCTATGTACTTTTATTTACTTTTAATGAAATGTATTGAGAAATATATATTTGAAGCAAAGGAACCTTTAATAGTCGGAGTTGTAATTTTCTTGATAGTTGTTGGAACTAATTGGCTTTCTTTGTGTATTATATTTTTTCCCCAGGTGCATTTGATTGACGGCCGGGCGAGTGCTGGAGCCAGTGTTGATTCAGCTAGGCAAAACCTAGCAGCCACTTTTGTTAATGCATTTGTGAACGCAGGTTTTGGCCAGGTAACTGACTGCCATGGTTTCTGGACATGGAAATACTTGATTAGCCATGGAAAGTGGATTGGATTTGCCTTTATATTCCTCATTTTTCAGGATAAGTTAATGACCGTTCCTTCAGAATCTTCAAGCGGTGGTTCAACAGGAAGTTGGCTTTTCAAGAATAAGGAACACGGAAAAGCCAGTGCTGCTGCAAGTTTGGTAAGTTAATTTAAGTATATGGTTAGTGTGCTCCTCTTGAGTTTTTCTAAAATTTTTAATACTGGGAGCTAATTATCCAGGGCTTGATCCACCTATGGGAGGTAGATGCTGGCCTTGCACAAATTGACAAGTATTTCCATAGTAATGACAATCATGTCATTGCGGGGGCTTTATTAGCAGTTGGGATTGTCAATTGTGGGATCCGCAATGAATGTGACCCCGTAAGTTTCATTACATGTTATTTTATGTTTATCATCTGGGATTAAGTAAGTGGATACGGAAAAACTAACCCTTCGGTATTTGCATTTTGTTTTGCAGGCTTATGCCCTTCTTGCGGATTATGTAACTAAGGATGATTCTAGCATCCGGATTGGTGCTATTATGGGGCTTGGTATTGCCTATGCTGGAACCCAGAAAGTGGAGGTATTCTTTTTTCTTTTCCTGATGATTCCAGAATCTGGATGTGATTTTTCTTTTCTTGTTTTGTTTGAAGAGTAGCCTTATTTATTCATTAAATAGTACAAATCAACGTTTTAGTACTTGGGCCAGTCGACTCGGACTCATCTGAGCAACTCGGGCTCCACAGGTTGCCTTGCATGAGGAACCCCAAACTCAGGGGTATCTAAATAAAATAAATTTTACAGTGACATTTTTACGCTAAATGACTTAAAATCAATTATAAGTGACTTATATTTTTGTTTTTGTTATACTTTTAGGAGGTTTTACTTTTTTAATGACTTTCTGTTTTTTTCTATAATTTCTCATTTTTCTGAGAAACTAATCTTTAAACAGTATTTTTTTTTTTTTACTTTCTGGAAAATTTTGTCATCATTTATACATTTGTGCTATTGTCTTCCTTTGATTCCCCCCCCCCCCAAAAAAAACAGATTTTTAAGGATTTTTCCATATTTTTTTAAGCTTTTTTTTGGTGTGGACTCATGGGAGTCAACTTGGACTTTCCCGAGTAACTTGTCCATGTCAGTGGTCGAGTTCTGTGGCCGAGCTGAGTAAAAAAGCTCTTGGTGCCAAGCCACAACTGAATTGGCGTCTGAAAGAAAACCGAGTCCTAGTCATCAAGTGGGATAGGGTCTTCATTGTCCTTGACGTTTTTTTGGATATCATAGCACAATTCGAGTCCCCAATGGATGGGACAGACCTTGCTAGCCCATTCTTAATTGTCATGACCACCCTGTTGATCTTGTTTTATTAGTCTTTCATATTCAATAGACCAGAAAAAAGGTTTTAAGAAAATTTTAGGGCCCAGCTATAGGAGCTGTAAGCCCAGGAATCAACATTCCTATGCAGATTGCATACACCTTAGTGAACCACACAGGGTTCATCTCTTATATGTCCACCATTTTGAGCCCTAAGTTACCGAAATTTTTCTTCTAATTTTTCTGTGGGCCCTCCCACCTATCTGTGGCCCTTACTTCATGCAACTTCACCACATGGTACACTTCCGAATCCTGCCAACCACAGATTTATCAAAACTGTCATGAAAGTTGGTCCTGCGAGTACCCATGGCTGGATTTCTACATTGTCCAGGCCTTAATCTATAGACCTACACTATATTCAATTTTCTTCAATATGACCCGTAAACTCATTGATGATGAGAGCCAGAGCATGATGTTCACTGATGCCCTGCCCTACCTCATCCCTTTGCATTCCTTCCAATTTCTAAAAAGATCTTCCTTGGCCAGTATCGTCATTAAAAAAAGAGTAAAGAAAGATAAGGAAAGATAATAGGCAGAAACATGATTATCTGACTGTAGAAGGTTGGTTTAAACTGTCTCAATTAATCTAATGCTGCCTTTACTTGTGCTGCTTATGTTTTCGCAGGTTCTTAGGCTGCTTGCTCCAATTTTGATAGACTTAAAGGTTCCGATTGATGTTATTGCCTTTACTGCTCTCTCACTTGGGCTTATCTACGTGGGTTCTTGCCATGATGATATTGCGCAGTCCATTATACTTGCACTTATGGAAAGAAGTGAATCTGAGCTCGGAGAGCCCCTTGCTAGGTTTCTTTCTCTTGGTCTTGGCCTTTTGTACCTAGGGAAACAGGTAAAATGTCTTTCAACTTTGGAGAAATTATCTCCTTCATTATTTATTTCTTATTCTTTCTGGTGTCTAATTTCTGAATTAATTTCGTTGCAAATTTTTTGTTTAATGGATTTCTATCGAATGATTTAGAAAGTCCTCAGGATCACACTGTTCTATATTTTATGCCTTGTCATTATTATTTTTATTCTCCTTCAATAACTAGTTGGTGGTCCTGTCTGTAATAGGAAAATGTTGATGCCACAGTCGAAGTTGCTAAGACATTTAATGAGAAGATCTCCAGATACTGTCAAGCGACACTCATGTCTTGTGCATTTGCAGGCACTGGAAATGTGCTCAAGGTCCATTTCTTCTTGATCTTTTAAGATAGAAACATGAAAAATCTGATATATTGCTTGCTTAAACTGTTTTTTTTTTTTTGGGTATATTCTTACAGGTTCAGAGCCTTTTGGGCCTCTGTGCAGAACATCTTGATAAAGGCGAGATCCATCAAGGACCTGCTGTACTTGGATACGCACTTGTTGCAATGGCTGAAGAATTGGGTCTCGAAATGGGTATCCGATCACTGGAGCATCTTTTACAATATGGAGAGCAGAACATTAGAAGAGCCGTACCTTTGGCTCTTGGCCTGCTTTGCATCTCAAACCCAAAGGTTTCCTCTTTGACCCAACTGGTCTTCTGTACTTCGTCCCATAAATTGTGGCTTGGGGAGATTACATGTGCTGACATATTTGATGTGGCTAGGTCAACGTGATGGACACCTTGAGCAGATTGAGCCACGACTCTGATTCAGAAGTAGCCATGGTCAGTGTTCTTGGAGCTGGGACTTTTGTTTTCTTGGACTTCATTCTTAGTTTCTGACTGCTATGATATTTTCAGGCAGCCACCATCTCCTTGGGCTTAATAGGTGCAGGCACGAATAATGCCCGCATAGCTGGGATGCTTCGAAACCTTTCGAGTTATTACTACAAAGATGCCAGCCTTTTGTTTTGTGTAAGTTAATAATACCAAAGTCGCATCTTTTGAGTGTACAAACAGGCTTTTGATCTTTTGTTTCACTTTAACTATATGCAGGTGCGGATTGCTCAGGGCCTTGTGCATCTAGGCAAGGGGTTATTGACTCTAGCTCCATATCATTCAGATCGATTTTTGTTGTCACCGTAAGTCAGGCAACCACTGCAGGAGTTTTATGGAAAATTTTGGGAAATATCAGCCAAAACTCTTGGGTTAGAACTTTCCTTTTTTATGGTGTAGTGGCCAGTGGGCATTATTTATTTCAATGGAATGTTTGCGAAAGTTGAGTCCAATAACCCAAATTCCTCTCTGAAATTTGGTTCCAATCTTAGTTAATTTCAAACATGTTAATATATTTCCCCTTTTCCCAGTTTGAAATGATATAGATAGTGAAATTAAGGCTTCCATCAGACTTCCAAAACTTGTTTCCAGAATTTTGTTTGACTGAGGAGTTCTCAGACACTGCTTCTCATTATATTGCATGGTCATGTCTTCATTGGTCTTATTTGTTTCATATGATTTATACATCTCAGTCTCACTCTCATTTTCTGTCAGTTCTGCTGCGGCTGGATTAATAACTTTTCTACATGCCTGCCTTGACATGAAATCCATCATATTGGGGAAGTACCACTATGTCCTCTACTACCTTGTTTTGGCCATGCAGGTGTGAGCTCGGCTTCTACATATCTTTTCGACTGTGTTAAGATTGATGGATAGGGATGATTATGTTTTATGCTTCTTGATTTCTGCTATTTCAGCCGAGAATGTTAACGACAGTGGATGAAAATTTGAAGCCCATATCTGTACCAGTCCGAGTTGGTCAGGCTGTTGATGTTGTTGGGCAGGCAGGTCGCCCTAAAACTATTACAGGGTTCCAGACTCATTCAACCCCTGTCCTACTTTCAGCAGGAGACAGGGCAGAGCTGGCAACAGAGAAGTATGGTTTCTCCCTTACTGTGCTTCCATTTATTAGGGCCGGACAGGTCAACCCTGGCCCTACCCCGCCTTGATCCCCTGGCGTGGCCGCGACAGGGCCAAAGTGGCCCTGGTCCAGGCCCGGCTCCAGCCCTATCAAGGATGGGCTAGGCTGGGCCAAGCCAAATGGGGAAAAATGAAGTTAAAAAAATATAAATAACAAAAAGGGCCAGGCAGGCAAAACGAGCTTGGATCTGGCCCCACCCTCAGGCCACATTGTTTGGTCCAGGCCCAAAATTTTTAGGGCCTGGCTGACTGGGCTGGGCAGGGCCTCCCAGCTCATTGCCATCCCTACTATCTATTTGCACCATTCCTAATCATTTTGAACATAAAGAATTAAATTTGGATACTCTTAGGTCACATAATTTTTTGGCTCCAATTTGAAGTTGGTTATATATGGGCAGGGCATTTTTGTTGTCAGCATAATAAATACAGCTCAACCTAACCAAAAATTTCCCCCTTCCTATGAGAAATTGCAAAATTTCCCAGTACCAAAATTTTAAAGCACTTTAGGAATGCCCTCCTAAGTGTGGTGTGTACATGCACACCTACAAAATGTTTCTTGCATTCATTTACTGTTGCATATATTTCTTCTGATGTCCCTTTGACAAAGAAAATGTAGTGGATAAATTTGTGGTCTGTTTCCACTTACAGATATGTGGCACTCTCATCTATCCTCGAAGGTTTTGTCATATTGAAGGAGAACCCGGAATATCAGGCTGATCACCACTCGAGTTAATTTGTTTGGGAATTATTTCTTCCGCAATGGTTTGTCTCCCAAAGGTACATTCAGCTTAGTGTGCTTATACATAAGTGCTTGAATACCCATGAAATTGCATATATAATGAAAATTTTCAGCTATAAATCACTGCGTGCAATTTACAGTGGTGGGAGATCTACCAAAGTGTTAAGATCTAGAAAGAAAAGTAAAAATCTTGAAAGCAATTTGCAGAATTTAAACTGATGTCATGAAAGTAGAAAGGCTGGTTTTTTTTGCAATAGAAGTAAACAATTCCTGGATCGTTTCTTAAACATAATGAGTATTTCAGTTAGGGAAGATATTCTGCACCTAGGAACCAGGCTTGGATTTGATTGTTTCGTTGTTGATTGCAATGCTACATCCCAAGTTCGATTCCTCCCACTGAGCTATGTAAGAAAAGGGAAAAAAAGGTACTATTCCCACTATGGAACAGTCTGCAAGATGCGTGCTCCATTTACCAGAGTTGTGACCTTGGATATTGGACCAGTGTAGACCGATAATTATGTATGGCCTGTCTCATTGGTACGGCCTGATGGTGCTGTTGAGCTTCAACGTGCAACATTATTTGGATGGTACTGCTCAGTAGTAAATATGGAACACTACGCTCAGTTCCGTTCGGTTATATTATCTGGCTTTTTCTTTGGGGTGGGTTAACTTGGGGATTTTGTCACTTGTGCCTTGAACTACTGTTCAATAGGTTGGACCCCGATTTTGAAACCCCACCTAGTTTCCTCTGTAACTCATTTGGCCCACTCTGGTTTTCCTGAGAATAGAAGTTAATGTTCATCGTAGCTTTGCCGACTATGTGTCAAAGATCTTAATCGCGTATATAAGTAATCAATTTTTTCATCTTAACGTAGTTTTGGGTTGAGTTTTTTGGTTTGGAATGATTATTTGTTTGTCAAATGTTTTAATTTGTGAATATGTTTACAGCTTGTGGAACAACCCTCTTTTTGTGGAGTTTCCAGTGTAATTTATCAGTGCTGCTCAGAAGGTACAATGGAGAAGCTTTTGCTTGAATGCATCCAAGGCAAGGGGAAAGGGAAGTTAGCAAGCCATTTATGAATGATCTGGCAAGTTTATTTTAGTAGTAGAAATTTTTTTTTTTTTTCCGCACTTTTTATATATATATCTGAAGCAGTCATTTTTCTGAAAGTTAAAGCACGGTGAGGTTTATGAGAATGGAATCGTTCGTTTACTGTATCTTTATATGAATTTTGTCTTTTATTTTTTATTGGAGAAGTGGTTAATGCGTTGGGGAGCGCATAAAGATCTCGAGCGCATCGCACATCCATCCCCTAAAGATAGATGTGGAGTTGTGGTCTCTCCATCTACTTTTTAAAAATTTCTTTCAAAAAAATCCGCATTTTCAATTTTTAAAATTTATTAATTCATTTATGATTTGTGTTAGAGATTATATATACTTAAAAAATTAGGTCCAAAATTCATCTTAGAAAACAAATTGTGAATAGGGGACGCATATCTAGATATGAGTCCTAGGATTCATAAAAGGGAAATGCTTATCTAAAAAGGAAATGTCTTGTGTGACCCCAACATACATTTAAGTTGTTTGTGACCCTATGATTGTTTTTAAGTTTTATCTACAAAATATTTTTGGATGAAATTTTGGGCATCCCATCATAAAATTAGGGTGAACCTGGCAAAAACAAATATATAGTGTAAAAATAAATGGTCAAAATGCCCCTGTAATTTTAAGGGGTATTTAGGTAATTTTTATCACTATAAATACTTGATTCTTTATCATGTGCGCCCTTGTAGATCGCCCCTAATTTTGCTTTAAAACTCTATTGAAAAAAAAAAAAAACTGGGGTGTCGGCTAAAATCTGATGATTAAGAGCTGACTTGTGACTCAAGCGATATCAGCATCTACCAAGATCGATTAGCTGAGATTAAGGGTCACATATATTATACAGGGTTACATATACTATACATATACCATACATGTGGGTGGGGTCACATAGAAAGCTCCCTCTCAAACTGTACTTACTTTCAATGAATTTAAAATCCAAACTGACGCCAAAATTTTGGTCTCAATATTTGGTGGTCTAACGAAATAAAGGAAAGCATAGCCCATGAGAACCCATAGTCCTCAAGGCCATTACAAAACATGGACAACAATGGATGCCTTGGAACTCACCAATGGGTTCATTTATGGTTTTGGGATTCTCACCCTCGCTCTGTTTATCCATTTTGAATGGATGGTGATGACCCTAAGAACTATGGCTTTTCCACCGTCCGTTTACACGAGCAGATGGAGAGTGCGTATAGCCTATTCCTGTGGGATCATATTGTACACTTGGGAGAAATTTTTGGATCCAAATTTTGGACCTTGAATCGGTAGATGATTTTTTTCTAAAAATTAGATTTTATGTTCTACACTTGGATCTTGCTCTCCAAAAAATGGATGGTCAGTCGTTCAATCTTAGGATGTTATTTTCTCAGGTAGAGAGTGTGATTTGAAGTTTCTTAAATTGAGGTTGGTCATTAGATTTAGGAGGTTACATCCTGAAACTTGGGGTCCTAAAATTACTCCCAACTTTGCTTTTAGCCGAGGGTGTAAACGGATACGATCTGCAGGAGCAGGAAATTATTTCACAAGAAAGAAAGAAAGAAAGAATGAGCCAACACCTTGCAATAGGAGATTTTCAACATTTCGTTCAATTCATTGAGACTGGGAAGCTATGAAATAGAAATTGGTTCCAAGAAAAACGCTTTTCATGCATGGGAGAACGTCTGTATTCTCTTGTAAAAGATTAAATGACCAAATAATAAAAGAAAAGGTGCAGTGATATAGAATGCTAGTCAGTATTCTCGTGGAAAAGATTAAATGACCAAATAATAGAAGAAAAGGTGCAATGATATAGAATACTCCAAAGAGGTCAAAGAGCATATGCCAACCAGATCCCTGAAGTACAAGCACTCGCCTAACGCCGTGTTATCCCCAATTGTCTGAGGCCAAGAGATCTCAACTTTGATCGGTAGAGGTTTATACTGACATGCATATATAATTAAAGGGATGGTATACAATGAGACCATTTACTTTTTGTTTAGAGTGGTCACAATTATTTATAACCATCCAATGTGAAATCTGACAGTTTGGATGTCACAAAGTTTGAAAAAATTTGTTGTGAACTTTGAGCTTGGTTGATGAAATAAATGCAACCACTCAATTTAACATCCAATGGTCATGATTAATTGTGACCACCTTGTACCAAAGCAAATGGTCTCATTGTATACTTTCCCATAAATAAAAAGTTGTATCCCAGGAGACACATTCCAATATTTGTATTCCCGAGCTTAAACTATATCTTATATAAATATATAAAAGGAAAGTCATCAAATCATAGATCCACTAGTTAAAATTTCATAAAATTTATCCCAAAAATAGTGTAGAAATCGTTGGAGGTGGGAGTGTAAATGGGCAGGGTTGAGGCCAACCTAGGCTTTGGCCATTAAGCTAAAGGGCCTTGATTGAAGGCTCGGCCTGGCCCGGCACTGTAGGCCTTATTAAGGGGCCCAAACCCTGCCCATGACAGGCGTGCCTTCAAGGCCCATTGGACCTACAAAGTCCATTTACATAATTTTGAACTAAAGGCATGTTTGGTATGCATAAAAAATACTAATGTGAATGTATTTTCATGCGAAAAAACTCCATCATGCGACTAGACATGAGAGTTTTTTCATACTAATTGACAGTCAATAGTGAAAAAACTCCCACACCAAATCACATAAAGGAGTTTTTCCTCGTAAAAGACTTGACAGAAGTATTTTCATGAGTATCAAACGTGCCCTAACAAATTTAATATAATTATGGCCTATCGGACCTTATACTAACGTACGGCGCAGCTTGTTAAGCTAATAGGCCTTAAATTAAGGACCCGCCAGGCCGTAATTACCTATTTCGTGAAATGCGCACATTAGCCAAGGAAATTAGCTTTGCTGGAGACTTTTGGGTCGATGCTTGTATGGGTAATTATTGGTCTCAGGGCTAGTTATTGTATGTTACTGGCCAAAAGCTGAAATTATGTGCATGTGATGTGGGTCACTGAAATTGGCCGCTACCTCGAAGTGGATTCACTAACGCAGTTGTCCCTGTAGCTCAATTTGGATGGAAAGTTAGAAGGCCGTGGACTCCTTGGGATTTTGATTGTGCCATAAAAAATGAAAACCTCAAATTGGAATTAACATGGATATTTGGATTAGAAAGATATAGAATGAGACCATTTACTTTTGATACAAAGTAATCACATTATTCTTAACCATTGGATGTGAAATTGGATAACTGCAATTATTCCATTGACCAAGCTCAAACTTCAAAAAAAAAATTATCCAACTCTATAATATATCCAAACTATCAAATTTCATAACGGATGGTTATAAGTAATTACAACTACCTTGTACCAAAAGTAAATGATCACATTGTATACTTATCTTATTTTTTAACCTCAATATCTCAATAAGCCACCACACGTGCAAATACTGTTGTTTTTACACCAATATCTCACTCACTCTTGAGCTATTGGTATTGGAATTTATGAACACTAATCTCGAACGTTTAGAGTAAGGGATTCGTATTCCAAATACAAATATCTCACATAGGTTTGGAAGGGCGAAATAGGAACTTCCATTCCATTAGTGTGACCCCTTGTGACGTGTATTTTTTGGGCTTCTTGGAGAGAGGACAAAAGCAATGATAAAATGTTCAATGGCGAGGTGAATCTCTAGAGTGTGTTCTGATAAATTTTCCATAATTATTACCCCCTACGTCTCTACATCTACCAAACCTAGCTGATGACAGCCACTAAGCAAAGGGTCTCTCTCTCTCTCTCACTTGGGTGGGATCCTCATCACTTCCTCTGGTTTGTATAGAACCAAGATTCTCACTTCGATAGAATATTCAAACAATTACTTAGGATATGAAATGCCCCTCCTCAATGGTGTTGCGAGTTTCTGAAAATATAGGCATAAAGCAGGAAAAATCAGATACAAATGATAGAAACATGTGGAAGATATTAAAACAAATGGGCATCCTGCGACACAATTCAACAGGGACAATAATCAAATCTCAAATTCCAAGTCTTATATGCCTCAATTTCATCAAAACTTTATCTTCTAGCATCTCCCCAGTTCAATACCCAGGTCTCAAATGAACTAATCCATTGCACAGCAACAACCCCATTGGTCAAAAATCTACTCCTTGGTTCAAGTCAGGATGGATACAAAAAGTGGGGGCAATATGGGATACTCTTGTCATTTTCTGAAGATGTGGGGCTTCTCTGTCAGGCTCAGTCGTCAATAAGGAAAATTTTCTGTCACGCAATACGTTCTTTTCTTTTATGAATTCAGTAACACTACGCAGAGAATAAAAAAACAAACAACGACGTCCATGCAGAACAGAAACGACCATGACACCCCCACAGATGCATGCACTCCAAGAAATAATGGGAATATAAAGACATTTCTTACTTCTTTAATGTGCTTGATTTCCATGCCCTGAAAGCCACCAGACGATTCCATCCCTTACTGCAAATGCATAAAATTGTATACAATTTAAAATATATTTTTATAAAATGCAAAGAGATGGCAAGAGAGCAGGACACAACACTAAGTCTTGCACCTATGTCTCCCCCTCTCACCATGACTGTCTGTTTCACTGGACAGTGATGACCCAGTGAACCAATTTAACATATTGCCCACAGAGATTATTATCGTGTGGAAGTCATGAGGAAAGCAAACAAACAATAAATCTTTACCACACAAAAGGAAACGAGGAATACCTTGTCATGATAATGTCCATACAATAGAACTATCTCCCAGCCATTCTCAGTATTGGTGAAATGATCCCTTGTATCTCCAGGAGTGAGCGTTGTATTTGAATCTCTTCGCTTACCATACCTTTCAATCGTAAAACATGGTATGTCAACTCCTCTGAACCTTCAATATCCTCCCCACGCAACTGAAGCACCCTCTCAGCAAACCTCATTAGGAGCCCTGCGTATCTCGGCAATGTCACATATTTATCCAAGAACTTCATCAGCAATTCAAGTTCCTCCAAATCCAAATTCATAACAGACCTCACCATGGCCTTCCTTGCCACTAATTCCTCCATCACAGGCACCACAACCTCCGGGTTATTGGAGTTCAAGGCCGATACAAAAGCTTCCTTGTGATGAAATTTTCGCAACAACTTATCATGCTGTGGAACTCTCACCCTTTTTGGTTGGTTCACAACCAAGTCCCCTTCAGAGTGTTTCTCAGTTTGTCCCCTTTGAAAATATCCCCGATGCCAAGGCTTTGTCGGGGCCCACTTCCCGTTTTCCTCCCCAACCCCTTCAATTGGCAGCATTAGCTCATCAGGCCCATCTTTTTTAGGCTCCACTTTATGACCCTTCCTCTTGCCAATAAAGAATCTCCCATTTGAAGAGCCTGCCACTCTACATGAGGAAGAGGGTGACATGCCAACTGAGAGTAGAGAAGCTGGGAACTTTGCAGTGTGGACCACTTTGAAAGACATGTAATCAAAGACCTTCAAGTATCCATCAATCGACACACTAAGAAGCCGTGATTGCTCACTCTCTCCTGGAACCAAGGCCTTCCCAACACAAAGGGACGTCACAGTCTTATTATGGCTCTCCATAGTGTGGACTAGCTTTCCCCCACCAATGACGTCCCATATTTTCACCACATTACCACCCGCCGTTGCCAAGAACCCACCTGTAGTTTCACATTGTTATTATCAAAGGAAAGTAAAACAGCAAACATGAAAAAAAATAGTCCTGAACAACAGCATAAAGTTCGCTCCAAATTTTGAATCCCAAAACAGTGCTTAAGGGGGATCAATTTTTTCCCTAAATCGATCAATGTTCCCTAAGCCATTTTAGTAGACCACACTCAAACTTGCTACAGGAGCAACAGTCAATTAGATCCCTCAAACAAAATGTTGGTCTGGACACTATTTCATACAACTATGTACAAAAGAGCTACAGGCACTACTTTGGTATTTTTCAAAATAAAATGAGAAAAATAAAACCACCTGAAGGAAGGAAAACTGCTGCCTCTACCGGCTTCCCGTGACCCAACTCCATGACAGGGCTCGTGTTTCTGAGGTCCCACAACCTCACCATGTCGTCATACGAGCCTGTTGCCCACAAGTGCTCACTAGCTGGACTTGGTGACCCACACCGAATGTAGTCACGATGCCCTGATAGCGTGGTAATCTCAGTCTCTGACGCCACATCCCACCACTTAACAAGGCCATCATCCCCACCTGAAAGTATATGAAGCTTGTCATTGTGAGGATAAGACACATAATGAACAGGGTGAACGTGGCCCACGAGGCGGCGAAGGGGATCTCCCTTGGGATTGAAGATTTGGACATTGCCAGACTCTCCGCCAGCAGCAAGCAGTTTCCCATCGGGACGGAAAGTTCCGGAGTATGCAACGTCAGAGAATTTGCGGATGGTGGATTTGGGCGTGAAGGTGATGCCATCAAAGGTGAAGAGAGTCGCGGAGGAGGTGACTACAAAGTCGTGAGGGGGTTCTGGGCAGAAGTTGATGGAAGTGATAGGGAGGTTGTAGGTTAGGAACGTGGTCTTGAATGATGACCAGAACTTAGATTCAGGTGAGGATTTTAGGGTTTTTTTGGGGTGGAGTCGGGCAGAGATGGGGACAAAGGTTCCGGGGCCATCCATTGGGGAGAGTAGGGGAGATACTATTCTTACCTGCTTATTAAAGAAAACATTGTTAGGCAGAATATATATATAACCATAAACAAACATATTTATTTAATTAATTGCTAGAAAATATAAAGAAAAATTAACTGTTAAATAAGTTGAGGTGCACAAGCATGACTATGCCCTAGAATGCATGCAGCATCTTCACATGCTGTTCGGGAATTATATTTCTTTCAAAAGGTGTTATCTCACAGAGGTAAATATTAAATATTTAAAATCCATGAAAAGCACATCAGGCTATATATATATATTGGTTATTCTAGGAATACACCACACTAATGGTGAACTTAGAATTTACTATAAGATATTGCCGTTATATGTTCAACAATGACTTTTGACTATAAATAGTTTATGTAGTTTTAGAAGGTTATTTTTGTCTTTTTAAAATCCCTCCACAACTCAATTTCAAATTTAAAAGCATTACTTTGATTTTTTGAATGATGACTGAATCTTTAAAGCAATTTAAAATTACAAAACTGTCCTCAAAATTTTCAAACAAGCTATTGCTAATGTAATTTTTATATTCGTAATGGCATTATGTTGTCAAAAACTCCAAAGTAATTCTAAGTTCACCATTATATATATATATATATATATATAGGGAAAAGTTTATATAAGGTTGCAACATAAAATGTAGAATTCCAGATGCACCTCAAAAATCTATCGGAAAGGTTGTTTTAATGTTGAAAAATCCTCCATTTGATCATCTCAACATCGAGATGTAATATATAAAAAAAAAATTTTGAGTCTCAGAAATAGTGCATCTTGCAACACATTATCTAGACCATCCATTTTCAAGATTTTCATATGTTTATAGATCTCCTTGATTTTAACCATTTTTGGAGTTTAAAATTTTCTAATTAGATATGAAAATAGATTTTAAGATAATACTAAGAATTTTTTACAACAAAATTACATGTTATGATCAAATTTGGAGGTGCACCTTAATTGGATTGTTTAAGGTTGCAACCTTATAGAAACCACACCCATGTGTATATATTCCTCCAAATTTATGAAAACATCCGCGTCACTCTTTGTCGATGAACTCTCATTCCTAAAATATCTTTCCATAAAAATTTCTTTCATGTGTTATTAAATCCTATGATAATAAAATTGCCCAAAAAAAAAAGCATGCCCATCTCTCCTTACAAATCTCTTTTACATTTTATCCCAATCCTGAATCTGTCCCAAACACCCCATCTCTCTCCACCACTACCCTCCGGTTCCTCGTTCCCACCCCCTACCTTCTATTCCTGAATTTTGAGAAAGATATATGCCATGGACAATATTAAAAAAGGCAGAGGTCCCTGCCTAGGCAGTTTGGGGGCCTGGCTGCCTATACGAGCGCCTAGGAACAAGGAAAAGGTAACCCCACCCTAAACCAAAAAAATATTCTTAGGTAAGGGGTTTAGGCCCCTTAGGCAGTTCTTAGTCCATAAGATTTGGTCTAAATACTCGCATAATATCAATTTAATTCGAAGTTCCAAACTATTCACAGAATAGAAGCCCAAACAGGTATATATTCACACAACATTCCATCCACTAACATGTAAAAATATCAGAAAAGAAAAACAAAAAATAACACATTGCACTAAGCTTTATAGAATGAATTTGATATAGGTCCAAAGTCCAAACCAGGAAATATTCACAAAATGTTTCAAGTTTTCAACTACAAACATGTAAAAATATCACAAAAAAAAGGTAAAAGAATATCAAATGATTCAAATCATAACACATAATAAAAAACAAAAAAACAAAACAAAACCTGATTCAAATATTTTAATGCACTAACTTTTTCAAAATGAAAGCCATAACGGCCCAAACCGTTGATCTTTGGTCGCCAAAAGTCCTCTTATGCAACCAATCCAAGCTCCAAAAAGTATCATGAAGTATTTGTTTTGATTTCACAAGAAATCAAAGAAGTTGAAATTTCTTTCGATCTTTAGAAAAATCTCAAATCCTTCGTCTTTTGAAAGTTTTCTCTCTCTAACTTACACAAGAGGGGTTTTGGGGAACAAGAATGCTCCCCAAAACCCTTTTCCCCCCCTTTTACGGGGCAGATCCCCAAAAGTCCCTCGGCTGAGGGCCTTTTTCCAACTTCGGCCTCCCTACGTTGAGGCACTGCCTAGGCGCTCACCTGATGCACAACGCCTAGGTAGTCTGCCAAGGCCATGCATATGCGTTTTGAACATTGGTCATGGAGAGGAATAGGAGAAAGCAAAACTTAAGGCAAAATTTATAATTAGGCTTTAATATGCAAGATTATTTAAAGATCGAATTTATATAAGAGTTTTTAGCTCATCCAAAAAACATTATAACTACAGCTGTAAAAATAACTTTAATGACCTAAAATGAAACAAAATAGGAAATCAATTATTCAAGAATTTCAAAACTAATTTTATTCAATAATTTAAAATTTAATGCTCAAACTAATCTCTCAGCATAAGCATCATGTAATGCACGTGCCATTAGTAGTACTAGTATATCCTAAGTCAGCCTTTTATAAAACCTAGTACAAAAATCACTTAAAACAAAATAAATTTACTTAAATGTGTTAGAACCACATGAATTGAACATTGCTTTAATCACTATAGCAGTGTGGCTCAGCAGAATAGAATCAGGGACATATTATGGCAATTCATAAGAGGTTGCTAATTTCATGAAGACTTTTCAAGTTGAGGTTCATTACAATGCAGTTTATTTAATAAATTACCAAAGTAACATATAATTATAGGCATGCCACTGGTGTCAATTATTAACTAACAAAATCAGTTGATAATACCAGACTAAGTATTTGGTTTCAATACCCCCTTCCAATTCACCTATTCATATGGGAAAATGAAGTATGATCTTTCAAGTAAACCTCTTTCTTTTCCCATAAAATATTTCTTCTATAAAAAATATGTTACCTTTTCTCCTGAGGATCAAATTCATCTACCCACACACCAGTTTAAGGAACATTGATAATTGCGAATATCCTTCAATAATTCACCTGATGCTGTCAACTGGGCACATCTAGTTCTTATTTCATGTCTATGTTTAATACACAAATCCAATCGAGGGAAACCTCAACTTCTGTGGATAAATTGCAGTAAGTTACAGCCTCCTCAATCAACTATGCTGCCAGAACTAATTTATAAGGCTAAGACTAACACAATTAAGGAGCATTGTACCATACTTTTCCATGGTCAAAACAATCACGTGTTATGAAACCACAAGGGGCTTGAAGAACTCATGCGAAAAAGAAGTATCTTGAATTCAATACAACGTGAAGGGCACCCTAAAAGATCCTTGGAAAAATGTCATTAGAATGGTCAAACCACCTCAAAAAATCAATGAGGTGGTTAAATCCACAACTTTCTAAGAAAATTCATTATTTAATAAAAACCCTTCTATTTAGGAAACTCCTTATGAATTTTGTTAGAACTTACCAAATTGCCCTTGTTTTGGGTTTTTAATCCTAAACAAAAGGCATTTTGGTAATTTGGCCACTTAACTTACTTGAGCCAAATGATCTAAATAAACATAATTGTTCCAGGTTCCAAACTGTTGGACTTATGGCCTTTCAAGGTCTTGTGTGTTGCCAGAACAGTTTTGGGTCACAGTGGGAATGACCAAGAATGTAGAGGCTACCAAGATCTTTGCGCACTGGGATCCAGATAAGTCTAAATAACCCCGATTACATGAGGCGAGGTTTTTAAGCCATGTTATGAACCCAGAAGTTTGAGGGTTTCCTTTAGTCAAGGTTTGTGTGTGTGCGCCCGCCTCATGTGGTGTGAGCTAGGGCTTAGGGATCAGTGGATCCCGGTTTGTTTGAGATATTTTTGTGTATGAGAAGCCCTGTGTGAGCTGAGCTGGGCTTTGAGAAAATATAAGGCCAAATCCTTGATATATGTAGCTTGCTCACAACGTGTGTACGGGACGGTCGCAATTTGGGAAGCCGTTCTGATAAGGTAAGATTCACCTATCAAAACCAATGCTGTGAAGATCGCTTCAATTCATACAAAGCACCCGAAGTCTTCAAGTTTTGCCTCACCAACAGCGAAGAGTAATCTTGGTTAGTTACTACTAAAGTAAGCAATATGAATGCCATGTATACAAAGAAATACAAAGGAGAAATAGCACCTCACCTACTTTGACACGTAAAAGGAGAAGTACAACAAGGCCATAACACCTTACCTGCTATGACAGACCTAAAATGTCAAAAGTAAAAAGAAGCATTGATATTTTTAAATTTGAAAGAACTATTCAAGTAATTTTCATTACCATGCTCCTAACTCCAAACGCATTAAAAATTTTAATTTAAAAGTGACAGTATTAAAAAAATATTTCAACCATTTTATTTATTATTGTGTAGTAATAAATTTATATATATATATATTTTTTTTTTTTTTATTTAAAATAATATTTCAACCATTTTATTTATATATATTTTTATTTATTTTTTTTCAATTTTTAAAAATATTTTTATTTATTTTAAAATATAAAAAAATAGCTGAAGTCTTCCCCCGAATCAACCAAAGCACCGAATTGCTTCATTTTTCAGACCAAACCGAAGCAGACTCCAAAGCGAATATGACAACATTTAGCAAAACTATGCACACGTGCTGAGAGGACCCCCGCATCCACAAGAGTGCATGCGCTTGGGGGACACTTGTAAGCCACTGAACACCAGGGGATCCAACCACCTATTAGTTATCTTTGATAGGTCCAATCATGCCCTGAGTCTGGACACATAGGGGGCATGTTGGGTTGGTCTGAGAAAGTGGTATGGGTTCTCGGATCTATCCTAGAGGAGTACCATGCAGCTCAACCTCTTGAGGGATTCTAATTTCCCAACTGGATTTATCTGAAGTGCTAGACTGTGATATTTTGATGGAAAATGATTAAAAATGATTTGTTGAGATTTTAAAGAATTTTTCAAATTTTATTTTGAGGAAAAATGGCCTGTTTAAATTGTTGATTTGAAATTTTCACTAAGGACATTC